GGAGGGTAGGGGTAACCCAGGTGGTAAATGTAATTCAGGTGGTACTCAGATGAGGTACCCCCTCTCCAATTGAAGGGATTTAGCAGGTGTTAGTGTGCTATTGGAGGGGTAGCCACTTATGGGGGAGCAGCTCTCCTCCTATCCCCAGTAAAGTAGAGCCAAGACCAATTGGAACTTAACCATATACGGGTTTAATGGGGAAAGAACATGTGGAATATAACACATATGCGGGGGGCAAGGGGGCCCTGGGAGGTAATGGAACCCTGGTCCAGGCACCCAGGGGTGGGGGGGAGAACCAGGGGAGCAGAGGGGAGTCAAAGGGATTTTAGGTGAACATACACATATAACAGAGACAAATCAACAGACTTGAAGCGCAGGGTTCACAAAATATAAGGTGCAGAGTTTCCCAAAATATGAGGCACAGATCCCACAAAATTTGAGGTGCAGGCACCCCAGTGGGGCAGGGTAAACAAGGTGAGGGGAACCCTTCTCCCCAGTGGGAATTCCCTTTTACAGGCAACTCAACCCTCTGGTGCCCTGGCTAGGAATCAAACCCACGTCTTCGCTGTTGCAGGCAAAAGCTGTACCACTAAGCTATCAATACCTGGGCTGCTACCTTCAGTTCCAGGCTCTAGTGACTCTGGGATCCTCCATGTGCTGTCTGCACACCAAGCTGCCTGGCTTCATGCCAGAGGGAGGTCAGAAAGAACCTGAGCTGCCACCTGCAGCTCCAGGCTTTGGTCCCTCTGGGACCCACCTCATTCTGCTCCTGGGAGGGTACGGGGCTGCAGATCAGGAGTGAAGGGCCCTGGCAGTGTATGGTGATGGCTGTGCTAAACTGTCCAGAGATGTCCAGGAGAGTCCCCCAGTGCCACAGAGGTATGCCATGGGGTGGCCCAAGAATGATTTCTAGCCATACTGCCAGCCCCAAATCCAATTCCTTATTTGGGTGTATATACTTAGCACCATGGCTGGGATGCTGTCAGTTGACAGCCTGGCACAGCCAAGCTATGTTTTAGGCCAAGCAAGACTCTGGTCAGGAACGTCCAGGAGAGTCCCCCAGTGGCACACAGGCATGGTGTCAGATGACCCAAAAAGGATTTCAATCTGTAATCTCAGCCCAAAAGCCAGCTCCTTATTCGAGCCCATATACTTAGTACAGCGGGCATAGGGAGGCTGTCAGTTGGCAGCCTCGCACGAACAAATTGGGCTTTGGGCCAGGCAAGTCTCTGGTCAGAGATGTCCAGGAGAGTCCTCCAATGACACAGAGGCATGGTGTGGGGTGGCCCAGCTCTGAAGCGTAACAGCCACGTATAACAGCGTATGGTGAGGGCTGTAATGAAATGTTATATGTGGCCATTGCACCCAGCTCTGGGGTGTATCTCAGCCCTTCCCATACGCTGTTATATGTAGCCATTACACCCCAGAGCTGGGTGCCTCTCTGCCCTCCCCATGCACTAATATATGTGGCCATTACATCCCAGAGCTAGGGCCACCCCATGCCATGCCTCTGGCACTGGGGACTCTCTTGGACGCCCCTGACCATGTGGGCTGGCTCAGGAAGGATTTCCAGCTGTGATCCCAGCCCAAAAACCAGTTCCTTATTCAAGCCCATATACTTAGTATAGTGTGCATGGGGAGCTGTGAGTTGGCAGCTTGGGATGAACAAACAGCACTTTGGGCCAGGCAAGATTCTAGTCAGAGATGTCTGGGAGAGTCCCCCAGTGGCACAGAGTCATGATGTGGAGGTGGGGAGGGGAGCTAAGAAGGATTTCCATCTCTAATCCCAGCTGAAAAGAAGTTCCTTATTCGAGCCTATATACTTATTACAGTGTGCATGGGGGGCTGTCAATAAGGCCACGCTTTGGGCTGCACAAGACCCAAAAGTCCCCTGGTGGTACACAGACAGGCATGGTGGATGCAGGATATTAATTTACATATTATTTGGTAAATATGCATAGCAAATGAAATTCTCTCAATAGAATGTGTAATTCATTAATAAGAAGCTTTTATTAGGTATAGGTTAGCTTTGAAAAAGAACCAGTAACCAGAAATAAGGACCTGGGAATTAAAGGAACAAACTGCAGCCTCATGAACCATAGCATGTAGCCTTGGTGTTGGCCACCCTGAAACAGTAGATGGCTTCCTCTATTCCTAATGGCGTAAGCAACAAGACAACAATAATATTGCTGGCCCCAGACCAGTCGCATCACAGAATGGTTTATTGAACTGGGCTGGTGCCTTGTTCAAACTCCTGGAAAACCAGGTTCAGATGTCTGCCTGAAGGCACAAACTGAGAGAGCTGTAACCTGAGCTGCAGGAAAACCTAAATTGACATGCAAATAGGGTTACTGTGAAATGCTGATAGGACAATGCACTGTCAGATTTTACCACTCCAGGATTCAGCCAGAGTCGCTCAACTGGTTTTACAGGTTCTGCTGAGGAATCTTAAGGTAATGGTCTGAGGCGGGGATGGGAAATGGTCCTCTCCAGTTCTACAGGAACCACAATATACAACAATCACACAGAAAACATGAACATGCTTTACAACCAAACCACTGATCCCTCAGCCCTGCTTGCGTCCCTCACTCCCAACCTGAAGCCAACTTGAAGCCCCCTGCCCCACCAGCCCTGCCAGTGCCTCTCATCCCTATCTAACCTGTAGCTCCCCAGCCCAGCTGGTGCCTCTCACTCCTGACCCACAGCTCCCTTTCCCCCAACCCCTGCCAGTGCACCTCACTCCCTACCTGCAGCCCCGCTGGTGCCCCTCAGTCCTGACCCACCATCCCCTGCACTCCCAGAAAGAGGCAGCAGTATGACTATCAGGCAGAGCAATGGCTAGCAGAGGGGACAGGGACATGGTGCTGGGGGCAAAAATAGGTTTACAAGGAACAGGAGTACCAGAGAAGAGGGGCAAGCTTGCAGGGCAGGGGACAGGAGGGAGAACAAGTATTGAAGGGGTCTGGTTGTAGGCTGGGGGATATGACTGCAGGCGATGATGATCTGCCAATGCAGCAGTTAAAAGATTGACATGCAAATAGACTAAGTGATAAGAAAATTCCTTTCATGGAGCCTGGGTTGTTTCTTTCTTCACCACAATCCACACCATGCCCCTGCTGTTTGGGGGCTGGGGTTAGCTCATGCTGGCTGCTGTGTGGTGATCGCAGGGGGAGGGAGAGAGTTGAAGTATGCTAATCGGGCCCCCTCCCCCCCCCCAACCCACTTTGGGGGAAGCTGTCCTGGGTACGGGGATCCCTGGTACCCAAGGAATCTTAATCAACCTTGATAAGAACCCCAGGCCACCCCCACACTCATTCTCAGCTTTAGAAAAAGTCCTGCTTTTTGATGCAAGGATACAAACGTTAGGAGCCACAGGATTCTTTCTGTTTTACATAAAAATTCCTGTAGTAATGTTTCCATTCAGGCTTTAGCCTGGGTAGATGATACCCAGATGCTAACACACAGGGAGGCGCAGGGGTGGGGGGCAGCCAGACTCTTTCTGTACCTTTGTGCATCCCTTAGCATACCCCACACCCAGTGCCTGGTGCAACAAGTGCAGAAAAAGCAGGAGTCAAAACTGCTTTGGGACCAGGCTTGGGCAGGGGGGCAGCACCTTTGTGAGGCCTGCGGTACAGATCCCCGATGCCAATCCAGACTTGTGAGGGGGAGGCAGGCAGGCTCACTCTTGCAGACCTTTGCATGAAAACATTTCCCACCCCAACCAGCAGCACCCAGTGCAACAAGGAGCAAGTACCCAGAAAAAAGTGGAAGGCTTTGCAAGGGAGGAGGGCAGCACTGTTTATTGAACTCAAACCCCACCCAAAAACCCATGGCTGTCAAGCAAAGCTGCCAATAATTCCCCCCAAAAAAGCAACCTGGCACAACCCAAGAAAATAAACCAACCCAAAAATGAAATCTTTTCCTAAAACGCAACTTGGCACTAAAGTAGTACTGAAAGGGCAGGAGGGTAAAATTGTTCTGACATGCCCTCTAGTGCATTTTACTAGTTATAGCACAATAAGCCATTACACGGTAAATCACGTCCACATTACTGAATTAGTCATCATAAACTAAGAAAGGAAAATTAAACCAGGAACATTTTTAGTGGGCAAATGCCGATTACGCAGACAAGTGCCGTATTTTGCGTCTTCTATGGAGTCAAGCCTGCTATCAGTGTTTGCCATACAAGTTCTGATCTTGGTCCTGACAAAGACCAACTGTGTGACCGTGGCCAGATTGTGACTCCTACCTCAGTTGCTGACATACACACAAGCCATAATGATACTTGATTCACTATATTGTACTGCTACAAGACTCGGGAAAGGAAAAGAATCATCTCAGGGATTTAGGGCATTGAACCAGGATTCAGGAGAATTTGGCTAAATTCCCGGCACTGAATTCCTACAAGACCTCAGGTAGTGTCAGACTGCATCTCAATCCCATCTGCAAACCAAGGGGAGTACACTGCTTCCTAATCCTCCCCACCTTTTACCTTTCTTGACTGTTAGACTGTAAGCTGCTGAGAGCCCTGTCTCTTCTGGTGTACATCACAACACGGTCCTGTGATCAGCGTGGCCCCTATGTGTTACTATAGTAAATAAATCACCCAGAATATGTAAATTGCTGTATAAAAATGCAAAGGGTTTATTATCCATACGCTTTACGATATTCCACTGTTAGACATCATCTTACTGCAGTTGTACTGAGCATCACCAGTTCTATTTTTCTCTTCTAAAATAAATATTTAGGTGATAGTCTGCTGAATCTCAATCTTAGCTACACTACTGGGGTCATTCAGTTACCAGGCTTCACACCTCACTTTTGCAGACAATCTTGAAAGTCCAGCTTTTAGTAACCATCAAATGTTATACCAAAGATGCACTCATTATAGCTTTTGAAAGAAGGATACTGCTGAGGTCTAGCTTAATTGGGCATGAAGAGATAAGAGCCAATGGATGAAACAGCATGTGCGAAGAGCACAAATTAGAATTTCTACTCACCTTCTGATCAGAACTTTCAGGCGTTAAATAGAAGTTGTGGAGTGGAACAAAATAGTCTTCCAGGAGGCCCATAAGCAATACCAAATAAACACCATCTGCAAACTAAAATAGAAATTCTGTTGATATTTTCAAATGGAGGCATCTGGTTTTGAACAAGGATTTGCAAGCAAGGAGGGAAACCAAAACAAAGAATAAGGGCATTGCTGCACCTTACACTGTAAGTCACACAAATGTTGATGGGTATTAGTACTAGCTCGAGCTTCGAGCAATCACACATTCAGCCCAGCAGGGGTCTGGAGAACTTAAAGTTAAGAATCCTCTCCCCCTCCCATTCTGGTTTCACCCCTGTCCCTCCTAGTTCCCCTCCAAGCACTCCCCCTCATTGCCCCCACTGTCTGTCCCAGGGGAGCAGGCAGGAAAAATTAACCTGCCTGCCCCACTCCCACTGCTGCTCTTCTCTGGACTGAGCCCAGCCCAGACAGCAGCAGTGGCAGCAACAGGTTAACCCCTCCTTGCCTGCTCCCCCAGGACAGACAGCAGAGACGACCACAATCAAGCCAGAGGGTGGAGAGGGAGGAGCAGTAAGCAGGGATTTAGGGTGCTAGGGAGGGCAGTGAACCCTCTCTAGACCGGTGCGGGAGACGGGGGGCAGATGGTGTGTTTACACTAAGGTGTAGCCTACAGTGGCAATACCTTAGTGTAACATGAGCTGGATAGCACAATCAGACATAATCCTACCCTGGAATGGCATAATTTTGAGCCGCCTAAGAAGTGCTTCAAACTAGTTTCGAGTGTTAATGTGTGGAAAATCCAGCGGTTAAGAGCTCCAGGAGCCACCCAAAAGAACCATGTAACAAGGCCTTAACTAACCCCAAGCAGTTTACTGCTACTAGCACCACTATATAGATTGGTTTAGAGACATCTGACAATCTGCTTTTTACCCCTTTCAGAAGAGTGGAGGGATTTACTGCATATGCCTCAGAAACCTTTAGATCCCTCACCATTTTCCTTTTTCTTCTCATTCAACCATCATGCTTATATTTCATGGCTGTTGTCATTTCCGCTGAAGACAACTAAGTGGGCTGTTCTTTGGATCCAGTTAGCTTAAGTCTTTAGGTGGCTCAAAAGGTCTCTGTGGAGGGACAAAGGGACTTCTCCCAGGTCCAAGATCACCACTTGCATGATTTTTAAATAAAAGAACTATCTGCTGCATTCATAATAGGAAATGCAATTGTAAAATGCAATTTAAAAATGAAATTATACCCCCAAAAGATCCAAAACTCTTTGTACTCTTAGCATTTTCCTTGTTTTACATCCTACTATATGTTCTTGTGCATAGGGATATACAGAGAATGACATATAGAGAATGACATTCAAGTACCTGCTCCAATTAATACTATACTTAATTTATATAAGGTGGACTGGATCTAACAGGAAAGATTAATTCTGATTCACCTGAGAACAGCCAATATCCAGTTGATCAGGGATGTAAGAAATCAAGGTTTATGTTCCTGGTCTGAATCAGAATCTGATTCAATGAATATTAAAGTATTAAAAAAAGTGTCCACTGAGCCAGTGAGTCTAAAACTGCACCCCAGTGCTTGCACAACTCAGCAGGTACATGAGAGCACCAGCCTTGCTGCAGTGCATTATTTCTGCAAAGTGGCACAGCTTCAACAAGAGAAGCTAAGACAGACTGAATAGCTAACACCCTGCTGCTGAAGACATACATCTGTCTGAGTTTTGAGTCCCTATTCTGGAGCAGGCAGAGCCTTGAATTGAAAGTGGTTCTCCCATATAGTGTGTGAGCATGCTACTTGCTGGGCAACCTGGGTTATCCTGCAGTGAGGCAAGGCAAGTCCTGTCTCTAAGTTTTCTCAGTGGATTCATCCCAATGTGAAACAAGGGTGGTCAGGGGGACCCTCACAATCCAGAGGACAAGAAAGTAATTTGTCACCATCTCTGATCATAAATGGAAATTTCAGCAAATACCATTCACTCAGGATGTGCAAGGCTGAGGCTCAAGGCAATAATTTGAGTGGGTTACTGGCTACTTGGCAGTGGAGGTCTCTCTCCCTCTCTCTCTCATAGAAAAAACTCTAAAAGGCCGTGAGTTTGTTCCAGTGAAGAAGAAAAATTTCCAGCATCTTGAAAAATGTCACAGAACAAAACTATTCCTGCTTGTCTTTGTTTAGTCTACTGTATATTTCAAAATACACTGTACTGGACATTTCCATTCCCAAAATAAAAAACCTCTGGGACCTATCCCAAACTTTTGGTAATATGGCCTGGCAAAGCAATGTAGTAATTCACTACAGAATCCCTGCCTATCACCAGCACCAAAAAACATGGTATGCTATGGGATGGGACACTACTGCTAGAGCAGAAAGAGAACCTCCTAACAGTTGTCCCAGGTTTATGGCACATATGCCAGCAAGGTGTCAAACTTCCCAGACTGAGGGGTGGGGGATGAAAGTCAACAGACTTTTCATTACCATTTGTTCCTTTGTATTTTGAACAAGACTAGTTCCCCCAAGTAAGAGGCAGTAGAATCATAGAATTGAAAATGACCTCAAAGATAATCTAGTCCATCCCCTGACATAAATATAGTGCAGATATACAGTAATATAGATATATACCAGGTTACCACAGAATCTAACCATATTTCACTCATATACACCTTTTTAGAAAGGCATCCCATAGATCACAGTGAGCAGCAGTTCACAGGGATCAAAATTCTGTGCCATTTAGTAAACTTTTCATACATAATAGTGTCATATCTACCTTCCAAAGTATCAAAATCCTAATTAATTCTGACCACCCTGTACAGCAGATGCCCTTGAAGCAACTGACCTAACTAAACACAATGGTAAGAGTTCCAAGACTCAAGATTAATTCCTAAAATAGCAGGGTGTTCCAGATGATCAATACTTCCACATATTCAAACCTTCTCTGGCCTATTTTCTTGTATAGTTTATATTTCTCTGTACCTTTCAGAACTGGATATAACATCCCCTGAAGACCAAAGAGCTATATTTATAAATATGATCTTGCATACAAAGCAGTCAGGAAAACTTCCCTGTCTCTTGGTGGGAAGAGGGTTGTTCGAGTATTCATCACTTCATTAATCACTGTTGCCTCTGCAGGCACGGTACAGATACCCAACTAATTCACTTCACTAAGGCCACAGAATATTAATTAATCAGCAAATGATCAATATTAACATAAGCCCAGATGAAACGTTCCATGCCCCATAATCAGTTCCCTAGGCCAGTGTTTCCCAAGCTTTGTAAGTTTACACCCCACTGTAGCAGGATCTACAACTCTTGCACCCTCTTTCCCCCTGTTTCAGCCTCCACTTCCCAGTGGCAAGGGGAACTGGCAGCAGTTAGTGGCAGGGAGGAAAACTGGCAGTGGCCAGCAGCTGCAATTTGCATGCTCCCATCCTAGGAACCTTTTGCACCCCCAAACCTTGAGAAACACTGACCTAGACCATGCAGCACCACCCTTCTGTCAAATGTTTATGAAAGAAAGTAAGTTTACTCCCTTGCCCTGCTTCAAGGCTTTCAAAAGTTCAGCAAACACAATTTCATGCAGAATCTTTTTCTATCACTAGAAAGCTGCAGTTAGAATTATGCAAGGTGAGTGAACAAAGCATATTCCCATGCTCATAAAACTCATGCTTGCCTGGGCTAGGTAACAGTGCTTCCAAGGAACCCAGAGCCTTATGTGGGTTAAACACATAGGGCTCTACAATGGAAAAAGAGACACTATGAGTACATGGGCTAGCTCATGTACTGTCAGAAATCTAGCCATTGGCTAATTTATCCTACTGAAAGGCACATATGCAGACAAGTCTGCAACAAACATTAGCCCACACAGAGTGCTGTTCTGCTGTAGCTAGACTTCTTCTAGTACCTGAGTTAGCCTAAGTACTCTACACTGCACTACAGTCTACAGTGCACACCAACCTAGAGATGGCCATATGTCAGAGTTACTGACTCAACTGGGATCTTATTCTGATCCAGACCAACACCCTTAATTCACACACACTCACAAGAGACAACCCAGACACCAGCCATAATTTCATGTACATGAAATAATGTTCTGGAGATGTTTTTCTTAATCTTGCAGAAAAACTGATCAGAAACCTAACCACATTACTAGCACAAATGTATTTAATATTGAAGACCACTTCTTCTCAAACTGGGTTATAAAGTACCAGAAGTATTGTTATAAATCTTGCGTGTAACAGTGGGTAAAGGGAGCAAATACTGCTGCAAATTAAAATTATCTATAAAATAAGGCCCTGATGCTCCAAACAACCCATTTCACACATGCAGGACTTTGTGCATGCAAGTAGTTCATTTGGAAGTACACTCATATGCATAGTTAAGCACATGCATAAGAGTTTGCGGAATCAGGGCTCAAGTGTGTAATTTTTATCATGCAATGTATTTCCTGGTACAAAGCTCCTCCTACCTGCGTTTCTAATTCTGTCACTTCCAAATTCAGCTTATTTAGGTGTTTGTTCACAAAGGTGATCAGAGACTGTGAAGGAAGAGAACACAAAGATCAATCAGGTTAGAAATTAGAGCTGATGAGCATGTGGTAGTGACAAGCTTGCCAAGCTATCAAAAATACAGCATTTTAACCTTTTTCAGCCTAACTCTTACAATATATAATTTACCCATGTGTAACAATAAAATATATATAAATTAAAAGGTACATAACAGTGTAATTTATCACCACCATTGCAATATGCTATTATGGCAATATTCTACATTGTATAAGTTACTCCTTTTTGTTTTGGAAGAAGTGTTGTCATGATGAATTTTTTTTGCACAATTCTCTGGGGAAGCTGTGGCAAGAAGTAGCAAAGTTCACCTTCTGTGTTAATCTCTCTAATTAGAGTCAGCTCCTGAAATGCTACATGGGAAAGAGCATTGATTTTTTTTTTAATTCCTGTACAAAAGAAGAGATTCTCTGTGGACTGTTTGCATCCATCTCAATTCCACAAAGGGTAAATACAAGTAAATAAGCATATTACAATACTCAGACTTGGATTTCTACTGCGAGAGGCACTGACTAGTAAGATCTTGAACTTCTGTCCACTGGCAGATGGATATTAATACTGTAAATATGTATTAACCATCTAATGATTTCCTCTAAATATTTCTACATGGAACAGGGAGTCATATTTTTTAGATGCATCAATTTAAAAAAATGCTTTCAAAGTAGTTTTCAACTAGTAAAAAAAGTCATCTCTTTTGTTGCTAGCCTTAAAAATATTATTTTGTGCTGGAACACACATATTCTGTTTTATATGTAAACAGAAGTAAAGCAGCAAATTTCAGTTGTGAAATCTATCTATTTTGCTAAAATAAGTTAACAGTGGTATAGAAATAATTAAAAGCCTTTTCTTTGTCAGTTCTCTTCTGGAAGGGAACACTAACAAAGGCTGGCTCAGATTAGTGGTTTCCTTACCTCTTTTCTGAGCCTATCACAAAAGAACATGTGAAGGGCTGGACAAAAGGGTCACTGGACACAGTGCTATTTTGTGATCTGAAGACTCCAAGCAGAGACTGGACTCAGGAGATCACGGCAATTGACTTTAATCAAAAAAGCACTGTTGATAGTCTGATGAAAGCAAACTAAGGCAAAGATATCAGAAACTTTGTTTTAATTCTATGTTTAACTGCACATGCATGTACTTGTGTGTACACACTTCTTGCTGACACAGTTAGTGAATATCATCATGCATATCTACTTCTGACAGCCACAGAAAACATGGAGAATGTTTCTCCAGCAATGAAAGAGCCTCACCGCTATAAAGCTAGGATCAGACACTTGATACTTCTCCAGGGGACTACCACCATTTGTGCTTACCTAATAGCACCACATGGAAAAGTGAACATTAAAACAAGGGCATGATCGAAGCTCATGTGAAGCTAGAGGGAGTCAATTTGATTTCAATGACCAATTGATTAAGTCAAAGGTTCAAGAGAGGCACTTAGGCTAAGTATAGGCATTAAAAAAGCCCAAGGCTGAATCAATTCAATCTTCACAGGTTAGTTTAAGCTGCATAGACAAACAGACATTCACTTTTGATTCCAGAAATGCAGTCACATGTCTGCAGTGGCTCAGGCCAGAATCTAGGGGGTTCTAGAGCACGCTTCCAGGGTCACCTGGAGCAGACAACTTGGGCCAAGGCTAGCCTGCTCACCCGGGGGGAGGTGCAAAGCATCCTGGGATGCTGGGGAACTGTGAGTTAACTTGAATCCAGAAAGGATCTGGGACAGCTCAATAAACCTCTATCAGTTAAGTCTGATACTACATCCATCCAGGTTTATTTTAAATCAGTTTCAGCCATTTTGAAAGCAATTTATATGCATTGAACTTCTGTTGTGTTCAAGATTTGAACCAGTTTCCGATCACTTATACCAGGTTATGTGTAATTTCTGTCCCTAGCCTGAGGGTATGATTTTGAAGGGAAAGGTTTGGAGGGCATGTTTCTCTGATGCAGTCTACAAATATTTTCTAGTTTTGCAGAATTTTTGCTGGAAAAGTTCTGCTTACAAACCAAAGTAGAAAATGTCACCATAGAAATGTCATAAAAGAAAACCAAAGTATTCCAATCCCAGCCCGGTTCGTACCTGGATGGGAGACCGCCTGGGAATCCCAGGGGCCGTAGGCCGCCTGCCCTTTGTAGTACTGTGTCCAGTACTGGGCACCACACTTCAAAAGGGATGTGGCCAGCCTGGAGAGGGTTCAGAGGAGGGTCACCCGCTTGGTGAGAGGGCAGCAGGACAGGCCCTACGAGGAGAGACTGAAGGACCTGAACCTGTTCAGCCTCAGCAAGAGGAGGCTGAGGGGGGACCTGGTGGCTGCCTACAAGCTCATCAAGGGGGATCAACGGCAAATAGGCAGAGCCCTTTTCTCCCCAGCACCACCTGGGGTGACGAGGAACAATGGTAATAAGCTGATGGAGAATAGGTTTAGGTTGGAGATCAGAAGGCAATATTTTACAGTTAGGGTGGCCAAAATCTGGAACCAACTTCCCAG